ATCTCTCTCTCTCTCTCTCTCTCTCTCTCTCTCTCTCTCTCTCTGTGTCTGTCTGTCTGTCTCTGTGTCTGTCTGTGTTCATGTGCATGATGGACAGAGTTTTTCATTTTCCAGGCATATGATGCAAAAAAAATGGTGGCTATGGCTTGCATGCTATGCTGTTACACCAGATTGAGATTGCAGTGGCAACAGAGGTTTTTAGTCAGGAACCCATGTATCCGGGCACTCAAACTTCACCGTAGATTATTCTCACAGCAAAGGCGTTAGTCACCATGACTTACAAGATGACTTCTCTCTTTGGTTTTGTAGCTCTATTTTTGCCACAAAGAAGCTTCACAGCAATAAAAAGCATCATGTGGATTCTGGCTTGCATTCCTGCAATGATTCTTGCATGAGGTCATGTAGATAGGATTGAAAGGCCAGCTTCGCAAACAAAGACAATCTATTTGCGGTACCTTTAGCATTCTTGCTTTCTCTATTGATGTTTACTTGCTCTAGAACGCTCCTTTAAACAAGCATGGATCGCTTCCAATTCCATGCAGTTTTTACAAGTGAGTAGTTTGTGTTTGTAACTAATAGCAGCAGCCACAAAGCGTCTCTCCAAAAGAGAGCAGGTGGAATACACTGCAACGCTTTATCTCGCAGTGTCCATGACTGAAAGTCTGTACAAAGGTACTGCTTGTGTATTTTATAACACTATTCACTGATAAACATTGACCTAAACAGATCCAGGAGTGACTGAAATGCGGCAGGATCTGGAAAAATAACGTGTTGGAGATATGATACAATGCTCTGCTATCTAGAGAGGTCATTATGCCAGAACTTATGATAACCTTGAATGCTGACAAGCTTCGAGCAGTTGTTGTCGACTTACAGGTATTCTTATGGTGTTTGTATGTTTGGATTTGATTATGTGTGTACCAGATAGGTTTCATCAAGCAAAACTGACATCCTGCAGCTGCAGCTCAAGGACAGGATTCACCCATGCACCACCAAGTCAGTCATTTTGCTACCAACATCCATGGCTAGAAACTTTTCACCATTGCATAGGATTGTCATGTCCTACAAAGGGAGCTAGACATGTCTCAGTTGTCCTCAATACCAGGGGGAACGTCTGACACTCCATGTCTATGAACCACACTTCCCTTTCAGCACTCCCTCAACCTGCTCAATTAAAATCAAATCAATTGGTTATTTCCTTCTTTTCTTATTATTTGAATCTTCCTAATCATACCAGACAATAGAAGGTAAGTTCTAAGATTTTTATTATTCCAGGTGAAGTCAATCATTACTTTTGCATAGTCAAGATTAACACCTGGCTGCAACTCTTTGGTTTATTGGGGCTGAAGATAAAAATAGTGGAATTGGTATTTGTGAAAGATAACCAAAGCAAGGGATCCTCATGATTAGTATGTGAGGTTGGAGGATTGGATACTATTGTATTTTGCCAAAACAGTTCATCTATGATGTATATAGTCCCATCTGTGACTTTTACCATTAAAAAATGCATTGAGTTTGACATAAAAATGCTTCAACCAACCTGCTAGATTCTTTAATAATTTCAGGGATAGTCAAAGTCTGGCAGGTAGCAAACACATCCATGGATGTTTTATTTGTATCTGTGATTTTATGTGTAGCTTGTGCAAAGGCATTCTAGACGGTGTTACTAAGTATAAGAATTTTGAAGGGTAGTCCAACATTATAAAACACAAATGCCTAAGTCCCAAAATGGAGCTAAAGGTGTGCCATATGGTAGTGGCTGAAGCTAAAATCTTGCAAGTGTAATATGTCTGGACCGAAAGCTCTAACTCAGAAAGTCGAGAGCTATGAAGGAACTCCTAAAGAAGTGCTTAAGGAACAAACAGAAAGCGATTGATAAACAAATCTCTAGAAAGGGACAAAAGAAGGAATGGCACATGGTAAATTGTGATACATGGAGGTGTTAAGACTAAGTTTTAGACTAAGTCCAAGATTGAGTTTGAGATCAAGGTTGATACTGAGTTTGAGATTAAGTCCAAAATGGAGTTCAAGACCAAGATTGAGATAAAAACTGACTTGAATGCAAGTTGGTGTGGTGTCCACATTCTGTTTCTTGATTTTCATGTATACCACTCAAAAATCTTGTGGTACAAGAGTGTCCTTGACAATTTATTGATCTTGTTTAGTTCAAACCATTCTATCAGTTTCTATTGTAATGCAATCTCTTCCTCACTCTTATTGAAATAAATACTTTGATGAAGGTTTTCTAGGTGATGTGGCGAAGTAGCAGTAGTTTTTGAATGCCTCTATTTCATCCCAATCTAGTGTTGAGTTCTCATTTCTACAAAGGCAGATAATTGTGTCTCTTTTATATGTGTTCAAATATATATTTGACACATTTTGTCATGGGTATTGAAAGTTACCTGTCAGTGAATCCTTTCAGATATTCTTTCCTTACTATCACAATAACAGGAGGTCAGTGCTAGACTCTTAATCTCCACTTAAGTTAGTTGAGAAATTGGTCATCATGTATGTACTTATGTTGGATAAGCCTAAAGTAAAAACTCCTATATGTTTCTTGTTGAGCATACTCGGCCAAGTATAAGTA